GGCCGAATTCAATTTTCAGAACTAAGGGCTCTTCCACACAACCATACAACCCAGAATATCAAGGCAGAAAATCCCACAATATCTGCTTTGAATTGGATTATCTGAGTCCACACTGCCATATATCCTAGTTCAAAGCTGATAATGGGGGATTTCATTCAACTGTGTGGAAGGGGCCCAAGCCCTATGAGGAGTGACTGAGGGGGCTGAGTATGTCTAGCTAGAGAAAAGAAGGCTGAGATAGGACTTGACAAAAAGGTAAAGGTTTCCCCTTGACATTAAGTCTAGTTGTGTCCAACTCTGGGAGTTGGTGCTCATCTCCATTTCTAAGCCGAAGAGCCGGCGTTGTCCGTAGACAGCTCCAAGGTCATGTGGCCAGCATGACTGCATGGAGTGCAATTACCTTCCTGCCAAAGCGATACCTATTGATCTACTCACATTTGCATGTTTTCAAACTGCTAGGTTGGCAGAAGCTGGGGCTAACATAATATAAATCCGCTCCCCGGATTTGAACCGCCAACCTTTTGGTCAGCAAGTTCAGTAGCTCAGCGGTATAACCCGCTGTGCCAGTGGAACTTGATAGCCATGTTTCAATATTTGAAAGGATGCCCTATTGAGGAGGGAGCAATGGATTCAAAGAAGATTCTACCTAAACATTTGGAAGAACTTCCTGGTGGTAAGAGCTGTTTGGCAGTGGAATATGACACCTCAGAGTTTGGTGGAGTCTCATTATCTGGAGGTTATAATGCAGAGGCTGGATGGCCATCTGTTGGGGGTGCTTTAATTGGGAGTTCCTGCATAGCAGAAAGTTGGACCGGGTGGCCCTTGGGGTCTCTTCCAACTCGTATGATTTGATGATAAAATGGAAAACCTTGATTTTATTATGAAACCATAGAATTTGCATCTATTCTATTTTATCATAGAATCTCTGGTAATAAAAAAAAATTCAAGCTGTGGACAGTTGAATCTATGAATACGGCATGTCAACTGTCTAACATAACACAACATAACATAATATAATGTAATGTATTTTTTTTTTGTCGTGTCAGGAGCGACTTGAGAAACTGCAAGTCGCTTCTGGTGTGAGAGAATTGGCCATCTGCAGGGACGTTGCCCAGGGGACGCCTGGATGATTTGATGTTTTTATCATCCTTGTGGGAGGCTTCTCTCATGTCCCGCATGAGGAGCTGGAGCTGATAGAGGGAGCTCATCCGCCTCTCCCCGGATTTGAACTTGCGACCTGTCGGTCTTCAGTCCTGCCAGCACAGGGGTTTAACCCACTGCACCACTGGGGGCTCCATGTAATGTAATATATTGTATATACATATAATATTCATATGTATATACAATATATACATATAAATAATATATATGTATTATATGTATATATATTTATAATATTATAATGTAATACAATATAATACTACTAATAATAAATATTATAATTATATATTTATATTACATGTAATATTACTAATATTATAGTAAAATATAGTAATATTTAATACCGATATTGTACTATGCTAATAATATATTGTATGTGTATATATCTTGTAAGCCACTCTGAGTCCAGGGTGAGAAGGGTGTCATATAAATGTGGTAAATAAATAAATAATAGTCATGAAGTCCTGGTTGTTTGTGTTTAGTTTGATAAAGGAATGCCTCAAAAAATGCCAATACAATGCTTGAAACCAATACCTCGGGTTATACATTATACAAAAGACACACTGGGATCCTTATATTAAATCTACATTTTATTGGCTGGCCAGACTGCTAAAATAACACATAAAATGGTTCTTTTTCTATTTAAAGCAACACAGCTGAGAACTGCATATTTAGAGCCAATTGGGGTAAACTGTAGGGATGATGCAGCTATTTGCTCTGGATCGGGACCTTGTTAACAGCTTATTTTAACTTACGTTGTACAGTAGGTTGGCAGCCACCTCTCCACAAAAGTCAACATTGACGCTGAAATAGAACACTGCCTGAGCTCTGTGAGTGCAGCCTTTTTTGAATGGAGCAGAGAGTGTTTGAGGACCGGGATATCCGTAGGGATACCAAGGTGCTTGTTTATAAAGCTATTGTCCTCCCAACCCTGCTATACGCCTGCGAGACATGGACTGTCTACAGACGTCACGTGCAACTCCTGGAACGATTCCATCAGTGCTGCCTCCAGAAAATCCTGCAAATCTCTTGGGAAGACAAGCAGACAAATGTCAGCATGCTGGAAGAAGCGAAGACCACCAGCATTGAAGCTACGGTCCTCTGCCATCAACTCCGCTGGATCGGACACGTTGTCTGGATGCCCGACCACAATCTCCCAAAGCAGTTGCTCTACTCCGAACTCAAGAACGAAAAATGCAATATTGGTGGGCAGGAAAAGAGATTTAAAGATGGCCTCAAAGCCAACCTTAAAAACTCTGGCATAGACACTGAGAACTGGGAAGCCCTGGCCCTTGAGCGCTCCAGCTGGAGGTCAGCTATGACCAGCAGTGCTGTAGAATTCGAAGAGGCACGAATGGAGGGCGAAAGAGAGAAACGTGCCAAGAGGAAGGCGCGTCAAGCCAACTCCAACCGGTACTGCCTCCCACCTGGAAACCAATGCCCTCACTGTGGGAGAAGATGCAGACCACAGTCACCTATGGACCTACCGCCAGTACACCGATCCTGGAAGACTATTCTACTTGGACAACGAGGGATCGCCTAAGTAAGTACAGTGGGTTGTACGCTGTATGTATATGCAGAGCCGGCCCTAGGTAATTTTCAATAGTAAGCAAACGGTATTCTGCCATCCAGCCTCTGTCTAAAAGCCTCCAAAAAGGAGCCTCCATCACACTCCGGGGCAGAGAGTTCCACTGCTGAACGGATCTCACAGTCAGGAAGTTCTTCCTCATGTTCAGATGGAATCTCCTTTCTTGTAGTTTGAAGCCATTGTTCCTCGTCCTAGTCTCCAGGGCAGCAGAAAACAACCTTGCTACCTACTCCCCCTCCCCCCCAACCAATCACTGATATATATTTTCTGTTCGTCGTGGGAGTTCTGTGTACCATATTTGGTTCAATTCCATCACTGGTGGAGTTCAGAATGCTCTTTGATTGTAGGTGAGCTATACATCAGATTTCACAATCATACACAGAAATCAGAAATACTATGGCATGGTAATTCTATGACATGGTGACATTCAGTGATTTATCTTTACAATTTCTGTGGCCCAGTCTGGTGATCTGGAAAATAAAGTAATGAGAAAGTTTTGGTTTCTAATATATGTAATTCCTTGTGAGTAAACAGTATTTCTTGTTGTTTCTTTGTCAGTGTTGATGTGGAGAGTGTCTGGTTTGCCTACTCTGGAATATGCAACATATCATAGTCCTTCTTTAAGGGTCTCTTTCAAATCTATGATACTATATCTGTGTGTGTGAGAGAGAATCATATCTCTCTATCTATATTTATGACAGTGCTCTGGAGAACAAGCCCTATGAGGAGCGGCTTAAGGAGCTGGGCATGTTTAGCCTGAAGAAGAGAAGGCTGAGAGGAGATATGATAGCCATGTATAAATATGTGAGAGGAAGCCACAGGGAGGAGGGAGCAAGCTTGTTTTCTGCTTCCCTGGAGACTAGGACCCGGAACAATGGCTTCAAACTACAAGAGAGGAGATTCCATCTGAACATGAGGAAGAACTTCCTGACTGTGAGAGCCGTTCAGCAGTGGAACTCTCTGCCCCGGAGAGTGGTGGAGGCTCCTTCTTTGGAAGCTTTTAAACAGAGGCTGGATGGCCATCTGTCGGGTATTTTGAATGCAATTTCCTGCTTCTTGGCAGGGGTTGGACTGGATGGCCCACGAGGTCTCTTCCAACTCTTGATATCATTTTTCTTCTTTAAGGGTCCCTTTCAAATCTATGATACTATCTCTCTCTCTGTGTGTGAATCATATCTATCTATATTTATAACTGGATGGCTCTTTGTCAGGAGGGCTTTGATTACATTTTCTTGCCCTGGTGAAAAAGTTGGACTGGATGGCCTTAAGTATTTTCTGTTGGTCATGGGGGTTCTGTGTGGGAAGTTTGCCCCATTTCTGTCGTTTGTGGGTTTCAGAATGCTCTTTAATTGTAGTGAACTATAAATCCCAGTAACTACAAATCCCAAATGTCAAGGTCTATTTCCTCCAAACTCCATCTGTGTTCATATTTAGGCATATGGAATTTTTGTGTTAAGTTTGGTCCAGATCCATCATTGTTTGAGTCCACAGTGCTCTCTGGATGTAGGTGAACTACAACTCCCAAACTCAAGGTCAATGCCCACCAAACCCTTCCAGTTTTTTTGGTCATGTGGGTTCTGTGTGCCAAGTTTGGTTCAATTCCATCATTGGTGGAGTTCAGAATGCTCTTTGATTGTAGGTGAACTATAAATCCCAGCAACTACAACTCCCAAATGTCAAGGTCTATTTCCTCCAAATTCCATCTGTGTTCATATTTGGGCATCTGGAATATTCGTGCCAAGTTTGGTCCCGATCCATCATTGTTTGAGTCCACAGTGCTCTCTCTGCTGTAGGTGAACTATACATCCCAGTAACTACAACTCGCATATGTCAAGGTCTATTTTCCCCCAAGAGCGCCCCTGGGCAAAATCAACTATACTGCAAATGCTTACTTTGCGTAATGGGTTGAGCCGCCCCTGTGTATATGTGTTAAATGTGTTTGTCCAATGTTTTGATACGGCCAATTGGCTAATCAATAAAATGTACTACAATGCCAATACAATGCTTGCTCCTGGTGTGGGTCCTCCACTGAGCTCACTTAGCTTGTGCCTCAGCTTTCCTATCAGCGAAATGGGAAGAAGTGCATGAGCAGAAAGTGGAGGAGGAGGTGATGTCAACATGTACAGCTTCTTGGAGCGGCTATTCCGAACTGGAGCCAGGCAGCTGCCAGGCTTGCAACAGGGAGCGCAAACTCTGGCTTGATGGATTTTGGTGGAGGAGATCCAGGCAGCATCTCAATGAAGGTCCCCCCTTGAAGCATCCCCTCTCCCCCTCCTTTCCATTTCCTTCTCTATGTGAGTGTGCCTGCATGCATGTCTAGATGTGTCTCTCTCTCTGCTTTTCCCTGGAAGGGCTCCAGCTGCTGCTAACGTGAGCCAAGGCGTTAATCCCGCAGCCCAGCTGCTAATTGGGAGATGGGCTTGATCAGCATGGATTCCCCGTTACATCCTGCGGACCGTTAAATTTGCTTAGACAGAAGAAGAGGAGGAGGAGAGGACCTACGTGGGCTGAGGAAGCCATGGCTGCTGCTGCTGCCTAAAAAAGACACACATACACACTGACACACACACATCCAGAAGGTGAGAGACGCAGCGGCGGGGCTGGGGGCGGATGGCAGTGGCTCAGGTTGTTGTTGGGGGGACCGGTTCTCCTGCAGAAACTGCTTCCATCATGTGTCAGACAGGCTCACACTGGTATTGTTGGAGCTGTGACAATCGGTGTGCTGTGTGATGCATGTGACGGGTCTGTTTAAGGAGCCACAGTTGCTAAGTTACGCTCCGAGGGTGGTTTTTTGTGTATGTGTGCGATTTGTATGTGTACCCACACGCACACATCAACACAGATGCTCGTCTGCCTATTCCCATTTGCGGCAAAATGGTCCCACCGACACCATCCGTCATGAAGACCGAGGGGACCGCTTGGCTCGGAATGAGATTATATGGGGCTGGGGAAGAATGGGCAAAGGGGCGCTCGATTCACATCCATGGGGCTAGCAAAGTTGAGCAGGTGGCTTTGAACCGGCCTTAATTCGGAGTGGTATGGCTGTGCCACTTACGAGGGGAAATACGGCAAGTGGGGATGTAACCCTTCCTCCACAATATAGGGAGAAAGATGGGGGAAATACCACCACCACCACCAACAAAAATGCACAAGATGCACCTGCGATTTTAAGATGCACCCCATTTTCAGAGACGTTTATATAGGGGGGAAAGTACATCTTAGAATTGAAGAAATGCAGTATCCCCTTGTGCATTTATTACAGGATGAATTGATCAGACATGTCGGGGGAGTGTGTGTCGATACATGCATGTACAGCCCTTGATGTTTAGAGCAGGGACATTTCTCCACCAAAACATCCTCGTAAGAAATTGCACATATCAACAGGGTGTGTTAAAATATAGATGTGTTGCATAAAGCTAAGTGTCCCTCATTCATTCCAAACTTGGTTTTTTAGATGCCCTTGCCAGATAAGAACACAGGGATGGAGGGGAGGGGGTTAAGAAAGTAACCTTTTTTGGGGGGGGGGGGGAATAGGATTGGCTCACATTGCCAGTAACACAGAGACACAAATCTGTCTGTTGAGGAAATTTGAGGGAGCACAATTTTATCCAGGGCTGACATCCAAAAACCAGCAAAAAAAGGCTACACAATTCTTACAAAGCAAAAAATAATGCAATGATTAAAACAATAACTGAGAGCCAACTTTCGTGTATATAAAGCATTATTAAGTACCGTATATAGTCGAGTATAAGCCGACCCGAATATAAGCCGAGGCACCTAATTTTACCACAAAAAACTGGGAAAATGTATTGACTCGAGTATATAAGCCGAGGGTGGGAAATGCAGCAGCTACTGGTAAATCTATATATAAATAGAAATGTAATGTTTGTTTGTGATACCATCAGAACTCAAAAACCACTGGGGGAATTGACACCAAATTTGGACACAAGACACTATCTCAAGCAAGCTATGTTCTCCACTCACAAAACCCCCCAAAAACACTTCCCCTCCCTCCCCCCTCCCCCCTCAGAAAGACGTCCAACTTAAGCCTCAGGGAGGGAGGGGGGAGGGAAGGAGTGCACGTGTATGGCCAGCAAGCTCCCACGGAGCTGAAGGAAAAGCCCTCATCCCCGCAGGCCTGCCTTAACAACCCAATGTATGTTCTCCACTCAAAAAAATTGATTTTGTCATTTGGGAATCGTCGTTGCTGGGATTTATAGTTTACCTACAATCAAAGAGCATTCTGAACTCCACCAATGATGGAATTGGGCCAAACTTAGCACACAGGGCTCCCATGACAACAGAAAACACTGGAAGGGTTTTGTGGACATTGACCTTGAGTTTGGGAATTGTAGTTCACCCACATCCAGAGCACTGTGGACTCAAACAATGATGGATCTGGACCAAACTTGGCACGAATATTCCATATGCCCAAATATGAACACAGATGGAGTTTGGGGAAATAGACCTTGACATTTGGGAGTTGTAGTTGCTGGGATTTATAGTTCACCTACAATCAAAGAGCATTCTGAACTCCACCAATGATGGAATTGAACCAAACATGGCATACAGGATTTCCATGACCAACAGAACACACTGGAAGGGTTTGGTGGGCATTGACCTTGAGTTTGGGAGTTGTAGTTCACCTACATCCAGAGAGCACTGTGGACTCAAACAATGATGGATCTGGACCAAACTTGGCACAAATATTCCATATGCCCAAATATGAACACAGATGGAGTTTGGAGGAAATAGACCTTGACATTTGGGAGTTGTAGTTACTGGGATTTATAGTTCACTACAATTAAAGAGCATTCTGAAACCTACAAACGACAGAAATGGGGCAAACTTCCCACACAGAACCCCCATGACCAACAGAAAATACTTAAGGCCATCCAGTCCAACTCTCTTCACCAGGGTAAGAAAATGTAATCAGAGCCCTCCTGACAAAGAGCCATCCAGTCATAAATATAGATAGATAGATAGATAGATAGATAGATAGATAGATATGATTCTCTCTCACACACACAGATATAGTATCATAGATTTGAAAGAGACCCTTAAAGAAGGACTATGATATGTTGCATATTCCAGAGTAGGCAAACCAGACACTCTCCACATCAACACTGACAAAGAAACAACAAGAAATACTGTTTACTCACAAGCATAAAAGAATTACATATATTAGAAACCAACACTTTCTCATTACTTTATTTTCCAGATCACCAGACTGGGCCACAGCAACGCGTGGCAGGGGACAGCTAGTATTTTATATAAATATAGATACCAATAAAATTACATTAATTGAGGCATCAGTAGGTTAAATGTTTTTGAATATTTACATAAAACTGTAATTTAAGATAGGACTTTCCAACTCTGATTAAACTATTATTCTACACTTCTTCAATGTAAGCGTGCTTATGTATCCTTCCAATAATAATCAATAGAATAAAATAATAAACGTAATAATAATACAGTAAAATAATAAATGTAACAATAACAATAATAGAGTAAAATAATAAATGTAATAATAATAACAACAATAAAATAATAAATGTAATAATAATAATAACAACAAAGTAAAATAATAAATAATATTGACTTGAGTATAAGCCAGGGGAGACTTTTTCAGCCTAAAAAAAGGACTGAAAAACTAGGCTTATACTCAAGTATATACAGTAATATCCTCAGAAACTGGCTTTTTACAAGTGTATTTTAATTGCGTGTATTGTTGTGATTATTGTCTGTATTGTTGTGTTTGGGCTCGGCCTCATGTAAGCCGCACCAAGTCCCTTGGGGAGATGGTAGCGGGGTACAAATAAAGTGTTATTATTATTATTATTGTTATTATATTATTTTGCTCTTGGTTGGTTCTTTGATTCTTGAACATGAGTTTAAGGAATTTCATGTCCTAAAACGTTTTTAACATGATTCAGTCAGTAGTTCTATAATGTTTTAATGAGACTGAAACTTCCATTCATATGAATTCTTCTTGAAGATGTCCGTCTCTGAAATGTGTAACACGATTCTTTCGCCTCACAACCTCTGAGGATGCCTGCCATAGATGTAGGTGAAACATCAGGAGAGAATGCTTCTAGAACATGACCATATAGCCCGAAAAACCTACAACAACCCAGATTCTTTCCACGTTTACTCCATTAAGGATCACTAAATTTGCGGGGACATGAGGGAAGCCTCCCACAAGGATGTTAAAGCATCACAACATCCAGGCGTCCTCTGGGCAACGTCCTTCCAGACGGCCAATTCTATCACACCAGAAGCGACTTGCAGTTTCTCAAGTCGCTCCTGACAGGACCAAAAAAAGAAAGAAAGGACAAATTCCCAAATTAGTAGCAGTTGAGCTAAATTATCCAGACATTTGGAAACAGCTGTTGTGAAAGAAAAGAACAACGCGACAGCCTGCCTACAACTGATTTGCCAGTCACCGCTTTCTCTGTCTCTGTGTGTACATCTCTATATGTGCATATGTATGTGTGTGTGTCCCACAATGCACTGAGAAACCATTATTTCCCTCATAAACATAGATGCACTTTTGTGGGGAGATCCATTTAAATATTTTCCCATAGTGTGTAGCAATTGTAGAGGTTTCAAACAACACCTCGAATAATGTAAGCTTGAATTTTTTTTCAGAAGTCCAAATTCTTCTCCAGATCCCCCCCCCCCCCCAGTTGTTGTGCCATTTTAATTTACATGATGTATACGTGTGGGTCTCTTCTGAATATAGTCCAGTTGTTGAGTAGACAGTTTGCTTCGATTCCACCAACATCCTTTATGAAAAGGAACAAAATATCAGACAGACTTTCAGATTCTTTGTGTTGGGACACCTTGCTCCTTTCCTTAACTATAGAAGCTACTTGGCTTTATCATGGAAAATCAGCAACATTTCTGTTGATTTATTTTGATTTGGTTCAAGGTTTACAATGCAAGCATAAATGCTCTAAAGCAGTGTTTCTCAAACTATGCTCCTCCAGGTGATTTGGACATCAGCTTCCAGAAATCTCAGCCAGCTTACCAGTTGTTAGAAATTGTGGGAGCTAGAGTCCAAAACATCTGGAGGAGCATTGTTTGAGAAACTCTGCTCAAAGACACCAGCATTTGTCAGATCTTGGAAGCTAAGCAGAATGAGGACTGGTTAGTACTTAGGTGATCCCTCGCTGTGCGAGTAGGATTGTCTTCCGAGATCAGTGTCCTGGAGGTGGGTCCGTAGGTGATTGTGGAGCCCTATTCTTGATCTGCATCTTCTCCCGCAGTGAGGGCATTGGTTTCCAGGTGGAAGGCGGTCTCGGTTGGAGTTGGCTTGATGCACCTTCCTCTTGGCATGTTTCTCTCTTTTGCTCTCCATTCGTGCCTCTTCAAATTCTACAGCACTGCTGGCCACAGCTGACCTCCAGCAGGAACTCTCAAGGGCCAGGGCTTCCCAGTTCTCAGTGTCTATGCCAGAGTTTTTAAGGTTGGCTTTGAGCCCATCTTTAAATCTCTTTTCCTGCCCACCAACATTCAATTCTTGAGTTCGGAGTAGAGCAACTGCTTTGGGAGATGGTAGTTGGGCATCCAGACAATATGGCTGGTCCAGCGGAGTTGATGACAGAGGAGCATCGCTTCAGTGCTGGTGGTCTTTGCTTCTTCCAGCATGCTGACATTTGTCCACTTGTCTTCCCAAGAGATTTGCATGATTTTCCAGAGGCAGTGCTGATGGAATCATTCCAGGAGTTGCATGTGACGTCTGTAGACAGTCCACGTTTTGCAGGCATATAGCTGGGTTGGAAGGACAATAGCTTTATAAACAAGCACCTTGGTATTCCTACGGATGTCCCTCAAACACTCTCTGCTTCATTTGGAAAAATGCTGCACTCGCAGAGCTCAGGTGGTGTTGTATTTCGGTGTCAATGTTGACTTTGGTGGAGAGGTGGCTGCCAAGGAGCGGAAATGGTCAACATGTTACATCATTACGCTGAATTTTTGGCATTGGAAAGGGATTGGCTGGTGACTGCTGGAAGAGCACTTTGGTTTTCTCAATGTTCAATGACAGGCCAAGCTTCTCATATGCCTCTGCAAAGGTGTTTAGTGTGGCTCGTAGGTCTTCTCAATGCACACAGATGACGTTGTCATCAGCATACTGGAGTTCTATAACAGATGTTGTTGTAACCTTGGTTTTGGCTTTCAGTCTGCTGAGGTTAAATAGCTTGCCGTCTGTCTGATAGATGATTTCCACTCTGGTGAGAAGCTTTCATCAACAAGATGAAGTATCATAACGATGAAGATGGAGAATAAAGTTGGGGCAATAACACATCCCTGGTTGACACCTGATTCCACCTTAAATGGGTCACTTTGGGAGCCATTGCTGCCCAAGACTGTTGCCCTCATGTCATCATGGAGGAGCTGCAGGATGTTCACAAATTTGTTAGGGCACCCAATTTCTAGTACTTAGATGGGAGACTGCCAATGAATCCCAGGGTTATTTTTTTTTGTCATGTCAGGAGCGACTTGAGAAACTGCAAGTCGCTTCTGGTGTGAGAGAATTGGCAGTCTGCAAGAACGTTGCCCAGGGGACGCCCAGATGATTTTGATGTTTTTAACATCCTTGTGGGAGGCTTCTCTCATGTCCCTGCATGAGGAGCTGGAGCTGGTAGAGGGAGCTCATCCGCTTCTCCCCGGATTTGAACCTGCGACCTGTCGGTCTTCAGTCGTGCCGGCACAGGGGTTTAACCCACTGCGCCACCGGGGGCTCCTATGAATCCCAGATCCTGTGGGCTATATTTCAGAGGAAGGAACTGGCAAAACTACCCCTGAGTTCTTCTTGTCTAATACAACTCTATGAAATTAACATGGACTCCATAAGTCGATAGGCAACTTGAAGAAATCTACACACATTATAACATAACCTTATATCCATATACTTGTCTAACTGACTGCAAATCTCATTTTGTTCTGTGCACTTGGAGGAAGATATATTTGGGACTGGAGGTCACAGATGTCTTAAAACTGTGGAATATAAAATACGGAAGTAGGAATGAAAGCTGTGACCAGATAAAACCTGATTGTTCTCTCCACTCGCTTTAATGCTGATTGCAATTTATCTCTTGTCATAACTTATCATGGGATGAATTCGATGCAGTGATTTCTATGTTGAGAATTGCCATCAAGTCAATTTCATCTTATGGCAAGCAGAAGAATGAGAAATCTAAAAGGCCCACTCTACACTGCCATATAAAATCCATCTTATCTGCTTTGAACTGGATTATATGGCAGTGTAGACTCAAATAAACATAATCATTATAATATTTGTTTGTTGTTTATTCGTTCAGTCACTTCTGACTCTTCGTGACATCCTGGACCAGCCCTGGCCAGAGCTCTCTGTCAGCCGTGGCCACCCCCAGCTCCTTCAAGGTCAAGCCAGTCACTTCAAGGATGCCATCCATCCATCTTGCCCTTGGTCGGCCCCTCTTCCTTTTGCCTTCCACTTTCCCCAGCATAATTGTCTTCTCTAGGCTTTGCTGTATCCTCATGATGTGGCCAAAGTACTTCAACTTTGTCTCTAGTATCCTTCCCTCCAATGAGCAGTCGGGCTTTATTTCCTGGAGGATGGACCTGCTTTGTGGATTACCTGCTTTGATAATCTGGATTATATGGTAGTGTAGAAGGGGCCTAAGTTCCCCTGTTATCAGCAGCCTTGTTATCTTGCAAAACTAGTGCTGTGGCTTTGGTGTTTTTGTTGTTACTGTTGCTGTGTGCTTTGAAGTTTTTTTCTGAGGCCCCTTCTACACTGCCATATACAATCCAGATTATCTGCTATGAACTGGATCATATGGCAATGTAGACTCATATAATTCAGTTCAAAGCAGATAATGTATTCATTTCAATTTGTGCAACCCGAGGATGTTGACAAGATTCTTGGAGAGGCGAGGGCAACCACATGCATCCTGGACCCCTGCCCATCCTGACTGATAAAGGAAGCCAGAGGGAGTTTGGCAGATTAAGTCAAGGTGGTGGTGAATGCCTCCCTTTGGGAAGGCAAAATTCCAGCGAGTTTAAAAGAGGCTGATAAAACCGCTGTTGAAAAAGCCATCACTGGATCCCACTGATTTAAACAACTTTCAGCCAGTTTCCAATCTCCCCTTTTTGGGCAAAGTCTTGGAACGTGTGGTTGCCTCGCAGCTCCAGGGATTCTTGAATGAAACTGACTATCTGGATCCGTCGCAGTCAGGTTTCAGGCCGGGACCTGGAACTGAGACAGCCATGGTCGCCTTAGTGGATGATCTCCGCAAAGAGCTCGACAGGGGTAGTGTGTCCCTGTTGGTTCTCCTGAACCTCTTAGTGGCCTTTGATACTGTTGACCACGATATCTTTCTGAGGCGCCTCACGGTGATGGGTCTTGGAGGTACTGTTCTGCAGTGGCTCCAGTCCTTCTGGAGGGTCATACCCAGAAGGTGTTGCTGGGGAACTACTGCTTGGCCCCACAGCCATTATCCTGTGGGGTTCCGCAGCGCTCAGTATTGTCCCCCATGTTGTTTAACATCTACATGAAGATGCTGGGGGAGATCATCTGGAGTTTTGGAATCCGATGCCACTGTACACCGATGACATCCAACTCTATCACTCATTTCCACCAGCTAAGGAGGTTGTCCAAATCCTGAACCGGTGCCTGGCCGCTGTGACGGTCTGGATGAGGGCGAGCAAATTGAAGTTGAATCCAGACAAGACAGAGGTTCTTCTGGTCAGTCGCAAGGCAAAACAGGGTATAGGGTCACAGCCTGTGCTGGACGGGGTTACACTCCCCTTGAAAGCACAGTTTCACAGCTTGGGAGTTCTCCTTAACCACTGAGCCTGGAATCTCGGGTTACGGCAGTGACCAGGGGAGTTTTTGAACAATTAAAACTTGTGCGCCAGCTGTGGCCATACCTTGGGAAGTCAGACTTGGCCATGGTGGTCCACGCTCTTGTTACATCCAGGATAGACTACTGCAATGCACTCTACGTGGGGTTGCCTTTGAAGGCTGCTCAGAAGTTTCAAATAGTCCAACGAGAGGCAGACAGGTTAATAACTGGGGCGGCATACAGGGAGCATACAACATCCATATTACGTCAGCTCCACTGGCTGCCAGTTTGCTACCAGGCACATTTCAAAGCTGCCCTGAGTTAAGAAGGGCAGGGTACAAATATTTGAAATAAATAAAATAAATAAATAAACACATTTCTTACAGGGAGCAGATCTACCCCGCATTTCATTGGGAGCTAGGGACAGCCGATTTCAAATTTGATCTCTTATCTCTTTCTAGTTGAATTGACTTTCACTGCTGTTTCCTAACCAAGACTGGTAACAATTCAGAAATGTTTTTCAAGGTTTCAGAATGCTAAAACAAAAAAAAAATTGCAGACTAAAGTTGCTTAGAACATTTACAAACTAACTGATGCCAACTTTACAAAACCTGCGCTGCTAGCAACACTGAGGCCCTTTCCACACAGCTGAATAAAATTCCACATTTTCTGCCTTGAACTGGAATATATGGCAGCGTCGTCCTGTCATGTCAGGAGCGACTTGAGAAACTGCAAGTTGTTTCTGGTGTGAAAGAATTGACCGTCTGCAAGGACATTGCCCAGGGGACGCCCAGATGATTTGATGTTTTTATCATCCTTGTGGGAGGCTTCTCTCATGTCCCTGTATGAGGAGCTGGAGCTGATAGAGGGAGCTCATCCGCCTCTCCCCGGATTCGAATCTGCGACCTGTTGGTCTTCAGTCCTGCCAGCACAGCGGTTTAACCCACTGCACCACCGGGGGCTCTGTGGACTCTGATAACCCGGTTCAGAGCAGATGTTGTGGGATTTTAGCCTTGATATTCTGGGTTATATGCCTGTGTGGAAGGGCCCTGAAACAGCAGAGAAAGCCAATTGTGTGTAATTTTCTGCCTGTCCACCTCTCTTTCTGTGTATTTATAGTATGTGCCTTCACGTTACCTGTTGACTTATGGTTATATTGTGTTTACTTTACTGATGGGCATGGCCTCATGTAAGCCACCCCGAGTCCCTCTGGGGGAGATGGAGTGGGGTATAGAATCATAGAATCATAGAATCAAAGAGTTGGAAGAGACCTCATGGGCCATCCAGTCCAACCCCCTGCCAAGAAGCAGGAATATTGCATAAAGTATTATTATTATTATTATTATTATTATTATTATTATTATTATTATTATTAAAAGGTAAGATAAGCTTTGCTAATCATGACCAGCTAGATATCTTAATGTAGAAGTTCTTAATGTGAGAGGTTCCTACACTGGGATTTTGACAAAAGTAAGATCTTTCAAAGTACTAAGGACTCCAAAAAGAAGTCAGAGGGAAGTTTTGCTTACCTGGGGTACCTTTGTCGTGCTCATTTGTCCTACTCTTTCTGATAGGTAAATCTTTTCTTCGTAGAGGGATCCAACGTTATTGCCATGGCTGGTGAGAAGCAGGAGCTCAAGAGAAGCATCTCTATCATTCCCTGCTTTGTGTTTGTAGAGGTAAGAGCACCGACCAACTCAACGGGCAGCAAGACCAGATTCTTGGCTCTCTTCTGGAGTCCCAATAATTGTTGGGTTGTTGGCATCTGGAGTGGGCCTCTGGGTCCAAACTAAAATGGACTCATTACTCAGCTGTTGTGGGGAGTCTATACAATGCCTGGTTAGATTCCCAGCAGAAGCACTGCCTCCAGCCTGTGATGTGATTCCAAGTGTGGTCACTGGTAAATAACAGTCAACTGGACATCTGGGTTTTGGCATTGACTGATTTAAAATGTATTTTTCAGGCATTTAAAGCAATTTTCTATTTAATTCAGGGCCAAAATATTTTGAGATTAGACCCTTAACCATCATCTTAGGATCACTTTAAATGTAAAATTTTGTCCAACAGCAGGATCTCTGGAATTGTTTTATGTTGTATATTAGAAGGTGGTCACAATTAATGTTTACTACTCACAGATAAATTTTACTACTCATAGGTCACTTTTACTACTCACAGATGAAAACAATTGATGCTATATTTAAATCATCATCATCCAGCTAAAAATAATAGCAAACAGAGTACAGTACAATGAAAACAATCTATATAAATAAAACTGTAACGTTCGTTTGTGGGATTAACACAACTCAAAAACCACTGGACCAATTAACACCAATTTTGAACACAATACACCTAACAACCCAATGTAGTCCTTCACTCAAAAAATTGATTTTGTCATTTGGGAGTTGTAGTTGCTGGGATTTATAGTTCACCTACAATCAAAGAGCATTCTGAGCTCCTCCAACGATGGAATTGAACCAAACTTGGAACACAGGACTCCAATGACCAACAGAAAACACTAGAAGGGTTTGGTGGGCATTGATCTTGAGTTTGGGAGTTGTAGTTCACCTACATCCAGAGAGCACTGTGGACTCAAACAATGATGGATCTGGACCAAACTTGGCATGAATATTCCATATGTCCAAATATGAACACAGATGGAGTTTGGGGGAAATAGACATTGACATTTGGAAGTTGTAGTTACTGGGTTTCACAGTTCACCTACAATCAAAGAGCATTCTGAACTCCACGAATGACAGAATCGGGGCAAACTTCCCACACAGAACCTCCATGACCAACAGAAAATACTTAAGGCCATCCAGTCCAACTCCTTTCATCAGGGCAAGAAAACGTAATCAAAGCCCTCCTGACAAAGAGCCATCAGCCATAGATATAGATAGATATGATTTACACACACACAAATATAATATCATGGATTTGAAAGGGATTCCAAAAAGGACAATTATATGTTGCATGTTCCAGAGTAAACAAACCAGACAATCCCCACATCAACTCTGACATAGAAACAACAAGAAATACAATTTACCCATAAGCATAAAGGAATTACATATATTAGAAACCATTACTTCATCACCAGACTGGGCCACAGCAACACGTGGCAGGGGACAGCTAGTCTATATAAATAAAAATGTAATGTTCGTTTGTGGGATTAACATAACTGAAAAACCACTGGACGAATTGTCATCAAATTTAGACACAACACACCTATCAGGCCAATGAGTGACCATCACTCATAAAAACACTAAAAAAAATAACAGAAAAGACTTAAAAAGCCAAACCCCCCCAAAAAAAAACACATTACAACACATGTGCAAAACCACACACACACACACACACACACACACACACACACATATGCCAACACTCATATAAATATATATACACACAAAACTTACTTACTTACTTATTTAGGCGATCCCTCGTTGGCCGAGTAGGATAACACACAAAACACATATGCACACAAAACACATATATACACAAAACAGATATACACAAACTGGGCCACAGCAACGCGTGGATATTGTCAGTTATTCCTTTAGTACTCTTCTGAAGAATAATTCTTAAAGAGGTTCACCCATGCAGGAGATTTTGACAGCTTGTTTCAAGGGTGGCTTAGCCCTGCACCCCCATAGGCATTTTTACATCTCCCCTATCCTGTCTGTTCAAGAGGCCATGCCCGGCAGCCTTAAGATTATTTGAAGGGATCCTGTCTGAATTGCACGTAATAATTTTGCAACACTTCTAAACTGATCATGGCTCATGCATGGATTGACATCAAATTGGACACAATACACCTATCAGGCCAATGAGTGACCATTACTCATGAAAACACTAAAAAACATAGCAGAAGAGACTTAAAAAGAAAAAAAAACACATTACAACGCATGTGCAAAACCACATATATACTGTATATGCAAACACACATATATACACATATACACAAATATATTGGAGCCCCCGGTGGCGCAGTGGGTTAAAGCACTGAGCTGCTGAGCTTGTTGATCGAAAGGTCACAGGTTCGATTCCGGGGAGCGGCGTGAGCTTCCGCTGTCAGCCCTAGCTTCTGCCAACCTAGCAGTTCGAAAACATGCAAAATGTGAGTAGATCAATAGGTACCGCTCCAGCGGGAAGGTAACGGCGCTCCATGCAGTCATGCTGGCCACATGACCTTGGAGGTGTCTACGGACAACACCGGCTCTTCGGCTGAGAAATGGAGATGAGCACCACACCCCAGAGTTAGACATGACTGGATTTAATGTCAGGGGACAACCTTTACCTTTACCTACACAAATATATAAATACACAAAACACAGCCCAGTAACCCAGCCCAGTTGGGGCTGGGAAAGAAAGCGATGCTGCATGTTTTCCCTCTTGCTCTTGCTGGGGTTTCACAGTTCCCCCTCCTTAGCTCCTGCGGAGTGAGAATTTGGTGGATTTAGATTTATTGGTCTCACTGTGATTCAACAATTTTCTATATCATAGAATCAAAGAATTGGAAGAGACCTCATGGGCCATCCAGTCCAACCCCCTGCCAAGAAGCAGGAATATTGCATTCAAATCACCCCTGACAGATGGCCATCCAGCCTCTGTTTAAAAGAAGGAGCCTCCACCACACTCCAGGGCAGAGAGTTCCACTGCTGAACGGCTCTCACAGTCAGGAAATTCTTACTCATGTTCAGATGGAATCTCCTTTCTTGTAGTTTGAAGCCATTGTTTCACATCCTAGTCTCCAGGGCAGCAGAAAACAAGCTTGCTCCCTCCTCCCTGTGGCTTCCTCTCACATATTTATATCCCAGAGATCCCTCTGTTCTGAGGACCAAGATCTATTGGAAATTCTCAGTGTCAAGACCTTGCGTCTAACAGCAACAAGACGCAGAACCTTTACAGTAGTGGCACCATCGCTCTGGAACAATCTGCCACCTGAAGTCCTTGCCTTGCGGGACTTATCAGCTTTCCGCAGGGCATGTAAGACATACCTGTTTCGACAGGCTTTTAATGTTTGATATTGCTGTTTTTAAATTGTTTTAAATTGTGTTAGATTTTAGCCATTCTTGTAAGCCGCTCCGAGCCCCAGGGGAGTGGCGGCATATAAGTTCAAATAATAAATAAAATAAAAATAAAATATTTATACATGGCTATCATGTTTCCTCTCAGCCTTCTCTTCTTCAGGCTAAACATGCCCAGCTCCTTAAGCCGCTCCTCATAGGGCTTGTTCTCCAGACCCTTGATCATTTTAGTCGCCCTCCTCTGGACACATTCCAAATATATTATTATATTTCCCCCTTTATTCTCACTGTTCTTATTTAATCAATCCACCCCTGTTCACAAAAAAGAAGAGAAATCATTATTTAATTTTAATTATTCTAGACTTCTCCATTTGTTTGTCACAGTCCAGACTAAATGTTTTTCTTGTAAGGCAAGCCATCCTTAAAACAGCAATATGTCCATTTACTTTTAACATGCTTCTCACATCAAAATGGGCTCTCATACAGTCCACAAAAACTTCCTCAATCCAAGTTTTCCTTCTTATGCAGGCTTTACTTGTCTGATTTAATAAAACTTGAAAACTTGAACATCTTTTTCCTTGTAATGTTGTATGGGATTCTTTTGTTTTTCCTCAGGCTAAAGGTATATTTGTATCCACTTATCTGCTTCAGTCTTGTGTGTGCATAGCCTGTTTATAGAAATCTGTTTTGATTTCTTCTGGTTTGTTTGATGTCTCTTCCTTATTAAATCTTGATCAGTCTGATATATTACATATTTGATATATTACATATTTTCTTCTTTTACACTCTGTTGTTGTTTTCCTTGTTCTATTTTCCTTGTTCTATTTTCCTGTAATTTGTTTTGTGACTAGAATTATAGAATCAAAGAGTTGGAAGAGACCACATGGGCCATCCAGTCCAACCCCCTGCCAAGAAGCAGGAATATTGCATTCAAATCACCCCTGACAGATGGCCATCCAGCCTCTGTTTAAAAGCTTCCAAAGAAGGAGCCTTTACCACACTCCAGGGCAGAGAGTTCCACTGCTGAACGGCTCTCACTATTAAGATTTGTTCACTCCTGCTTTCTTATAATCCTTTTGGTTAACTTCTGAGTATTTCTTTTTTATCTTTATCTTCTTTAAAGTGTCATACAAATATTAATACAAGTAATTTTACATCTATGGAATTATTTTCTTCTCATTGTCGAGGACTAAGTGGTGATCACTTCAACAACACAGAGAAGATTATTGTAAGCTCAAAAGCTTACAGACAAAGTTAGATGTATTTTAAGACACTTTTTTAAAAAAGGAAAAATTGCCTTAAATTAAGGATGTTCCCAATCTTCATTTTTCTTTTGTTGGTTAATAAAGCCAAGCATATAGGCTCAGATGATGATCCTTGCTGCTTGTCTTTTCTGTGTTCACTCCTCCCTCTTGGTATCATCGAACACTAAGACAAATGTTGGCATGTGAATAATCCTTTTGTTTTTTTTCTATTCGTAGAAGATGTCTTTTGTTAACTTTGGAGTCCCAAAACCTAATCATTTTCTGCAGATTTCTCCCCTCTCACATTGAGCCAAAGTGAGAGGGAAACTTTGCTCCATGACTTCTCTTCTGAAGTTAGCTGCAAGGCTGAAATTTTCATTGTGCGAATCCACCTTCCAAGGTTTTTTCAGTGATCAGCTATTGCAAACTCAGCCTCCTTCAATAGATGTATGGAATTAGCATCCTTTGCCTAACTACCTAAGAAACAAACTACTTATTAGGGCTGGGCAACCACGGAAAAATTTGTTTCTAAACTCGATTCGTT